ATGGAGCAGATGAGGCTCTGCTCTGGGGTGATACTGGGGTGCCAGGGGCCCAGCACTCCACAAAAAGTAAGCAAAGCAAAGGCCAGACCTGCCCTAGACCTGCCTGCTCTGACACCTCCCGCTGCTCGCACGTGACTGTTGAGCCCTCCGGACTACATAATTCATTCAATCCAAATTAACTTAAATTTAAATATAAAATCATTTGATTCAGTTATTGGAAAGCTTCCGTATGTATGGAGCTACTTAGGTTTGTAAATTTGCTTCTTCAATTATAAATCATATCAAATCTAAATACAGCTTGGTATTTCCAATGAAAATTCAGTGTCTGAACTTAGATGTGCCATAAGTGTAAAATGAGCACCAGAGCTGGAAAAAAAGTGTAAAATATCTCATTATAGATTTGTATAGCAGCACAGGTTGAAATGATATTTTAAATATATTGTGCTAAATAAAATATATCACTAAAATTAATTTCACCTGATTTTTTTACATTTTAAATCGTACATTGAGTACAAAGTGAAGTTATGATTTTTTAATACAATGTGGGATGGTTAAATAAAGCGAAATAACCTATCCATCTCCTCAAATACTTGACATTTGTTGTGATGAGAACATTCGAGATTTGTTCTCTTAGCAGTGTTGAAACGCTCAGTACTCAATTATTAGCTGCTATGGTCTTGACGTGGCTTGCCCTGGCCTAAACTCAAGTTGAAATTTGGTTGCCATGGAGGGTATTGGTAGGTATGGCCTCTAACAGGAACAAAGGTCTTTCTCAAAAACCAGAACTAATTCTCTTGAGAGAAGGTTGGTAGAAAGTGTCTGCCCCCTTTGTCCACTGTCACTTTTGCAAGCACTGGTTTGACTTCCACTTTCCACCCAAAACAGAACAGACACAGCCACCCCATCTTGGACTTCCAGCCTCCAGAACCATGAGCTTAATAAAATTCTTTGCTTTATAAATTAGCCAGTCCTAGGTATTCTGTTACAGCAACAGAAAATGAACTAAGACATTAACTATATTCACCATGATATGCAATAGATGTCAAAACTATCAGATTTACTCCTCATAGCTAAGGGTTCAGGCCCTTTGATTGCCATCCCCCCATTACCCTTACCCTCCATTTTCATGCTTTTAAACATGGCTTCTGGAAACTCTTCCTTACATAGTATATTTCTACTGGTACGCTACTCTACTTTTATTTTTTACTTTCTTTGGCAGCACTGGGGTTTGAACTCAGGGCCTCACCCTTGCTAGGCAGGTGCTCTACCACTTGAGCCACTCCACCAGACCGTTTTTGTGATGGGTATTTTCGAGACAGGGTCTCACGAACTATTTGCCTGGGCTGGCTTTGAACTGCAATACTCCTGATCTCTGCCTCTTGAGTAACAAGGATGTCAGGGGTGAGCCACTGGCACCCAGCTTGGTTTGCTACTCTAGACATTTATGTTACTAGGGATAGTCTAGAGAGAGAACATCCTGGCCCAGTGGTTTACTTATCACTTGCTCTCTCCTGTGACCAAAAGGTCCCTCTGGCCATTTTCCAAACTTCTCCTTCCTAATTCCTATATTCCTGTAAATAGTGCTGGCAAGAACTCTTACCCATCCTCATCCCACCCACAGCATTCTTCCCATGCCCCCATACTCCACCTTCTCTCTTCCCATCTTTCTGTAAATAACCCTCCTCTTTGTTCTCCTGTCCTTCAACAATGCTACCTTCTCTGACTTTCTTGCGTTTCTTGCCTGAGGGACCTGTTTCATTGGCAGTCAAGGGGGAAAGGCCTTCCCATCACGTGCTCACTCCCGCCTCTCTCCCACCATTACAGTTGGCCTTCACGCCTTCCTCTCATGCTAAAGGTTTTTATTTTATTTTTTTAGCCTCTGTTGTAACTACCATCCCACCTTTTCTTTCTACAACTCACCTTTTCTAAATGATCCTCTATCCCAGATTGGATTTGTGGGACAGAGACTGTGCATGGAGCTGGAGTTACACACGCAGGAGGTACTTCCAGGAACAGCATCCTTAAAGAGAGAGAACAGGATTAAAAAGAGAATAAACTTGGGCTGAGGTTTCCACAGAGGCCTCACGCTGGCTGACCCTCAGGAAGCTATGGCGCTGAGTTCACCTTGAGTGTTCCAAAAAGGAAGCAAAGAGATGGACCTTTGTGTCCCTGTTCACCAATTGGGTCCATTCCAGATGTCACCCAAGAGTGATGTGTCAGCTTTCCATCATCATGACAAAATACCTGCTATACATTTATAAACTTATAAAAAGGAAAAGATTTGGCAGTACTGGGGTTTGAACTCAGGGCCTTACACTTGAAGGTGCTTCTCATGAGCCACTCCGTCAACCAGGAAAAGATTCATTTTTGCTTTGTGGGTTCAGTGGCGTCAGTCCACAGCTGCTTGGTTTATCCCTTTGTGCCTGTGGTGAGGCAGAGCATCGTGGTGGGGAGCGCGCTCACTTCATGGAAGCCAGGAAGCAAAAAGAGAGAGGAGAAAAGGCTATGGTCCCAATCTCCCCTTCCAGACCATATACCCCAATGACCTAATGACCTCCCACTAGACTCCATCTCTTAAAGGTTCCACCACCTCCCCTAGCACCATAGGCAGAGACCAAGCCTTCAACACACCAGCCTTTGGGGGACCTTTACAATCCAAAGAGACTGAGAATGTGGCTCTGTAGTAGAACGCTCGCCAAGGTCCTCATTCCACCTCCCCCCCCAATAAAACAAAAACTTATTTGGGTCCGGATTTGATTCCTAGCACTGAAAAAAAGAATGTAAACCATAACAAGGGACAATCTGACTTACATAAAGATTATTTTGAAAGTTCCCAAAGGTCTCCTAATTTCCAATTCTAACCCTATTTCCTTGTTGTCCCAGGAGCACTGGCCCCATTGAACATCCCCTCTTCTCCCACGCTCGGTGACCTTGCACAATCCCAACTTCCTTTGTGGCTTGTCTCTCCTGATGGTTTGGTTTCCTGTAGGCTCCTTTTCCACCTTACATCCCAGCTCCATCTTCAGCCTTGTCCACTCTTCCTTTTCAACCCTCTCCTCCATCTTAGCTTCTCTTCAGCCTAGCTTCTCAGACCATCCCAACTTCCCATCTCTTGCCTCAGCCCCTCTCCTAGCTCTTCTGGACCCCTGCCCTGTATACTCTCAACCTGCTGTCCCCACCACCACCACAACCACTGGACTCAGCCCCACACCACTCCAGGTTCCCCTCCTGCTCTCCACAGTTCACACCCCTTCCTGAAGTGCCCCCCCAACCCCTCTTTCTACAGCACTACAGACTCCCCTTCCCTGCTTTTTTACCTTTCACCCCCAGGTCAAGTCTTCATGTCACAGGGACAATTGCATTGTCTCCTCTGAGACACCACACACACACACACACACACACACACACACACACACACTCACACATTGTCTTAGTCCATGCTCTGTTGCTATAACAAAATACGGGAAAATAGAAGCTTTTTAAAGGATAGAAGTTTATCAGGCTCACTTTTCTGCAGCTGAGAAGTCCAATAATGGACAGCCACATCTGGCAAGGACCTCACGCTGTGTCATAATCTGGTGAAAAAGTACATGGGAAAGTGACTGTCTTCCAGAGACCCGAGGACACACTGTAGCAACCTGCTCCCCAAGGTCACCAATCCAATCTTTCAGAGAAAAAACTCACTTCCCAGAGAATTAACCCAGTTCTATAAGAGCAGCATTATCCCCCATGACCCAGACACTTTTGAAAGGTCCCACCACCCTTCCACGTGGCTACACTGGGGACCAAATGTCAACATGAGGGGTTTTTACTTGAGAGGTGGGGCAGTACTGGGGTTTGAACTCAAGGCCTGTCCTTGCTAACCAGGTTCTTTACCACTTGAGGGTTTTTTTGCCTGGGGCCAGCCTCATTCTGGGATCCTCCTACCTACTGCCTCCCATGTAGCCGGGATCATACACACACACACTGGGCTTGTTTTTTTTTTTCAGATGGAGTCTCACAAATTTTTGACTCAGCCTGGCCTGGAACCACTACCCTCCTGATCTCCACCTCCAGAGTAGCTAGGATTACAGGCTTGAGTCACCTTGCCCAACCTTCCAGAAGAGTTTTGGAGGGGATAGACCACCTCCAAACCACAACCCCCACCTTATTATGTCCCTGTGTTAACCCACCCAGCTGGGGTACTGGGAACACTGGTGTTTCTGTAGCCAGAGGCTCTGTTACATGCTTGCCTTCAACCACTTCCCCCACCTACCAAGCTGGTAAATAGGTAACCTTGTTCACTGGGTCAGGTTTCAGCCAGCATGGCTGGACAACCACAAGCCATGGGAATAATACGAGATGCACCCCCACACACACCCCCCGCACCTGCCCAGCAGGGACGTAGGTTCCTCTGTCTGCCCTTCCTTTTGCTCCATTCCAGGAAGACACTTTTATTCTCCTTGGGCCCAGAGACACAAAGCCGATGGTCCACAACGCTCTGAAAAAGGACAGGGCAGTGACGGGGACTTCTGTGTCTGGGGGATGGGGGTGGGTGCTCTCTGTGCCAGACAGGCTTGTCCCTACAATCCCTGGGAAACCCTAAGAGCCACCTTCTCCCAGCACCCTGTGGATCTCCGAACTCCCCCCCGCGGGGGGCTTGGGGGAGGGGAAATGACCTAAGTAGGGGACAGAAAGGGATGGGGCGGGGGATGGGGGCTGCAGACCGCAGGGAGACTGAAAGCCGCCTCCCTACCTCCTCCCCAGCCCACCCCACCCCCAGCCCTGCAAGTTTCCCGGAGCAACCGCAGCTGCCCAACCCGACTTGGAAGCTCTGTGTGCTCTGAATTGCAGAAAGGCAAACCCCAAACAAAGGGCCGCCCCCCCGCCCCCGCTCATTGGGGCCTCAGGGCGCGTCCTGCCGCCAGTCCTGGAAAGAGGGGCGCTCTGAGCCGGGCCGAGCGAGGAGCCGGAGCCGCAGGAAGCGCCACGGGTCGGGTGGGCGGGAAGGAGAGCGCTGCGTGCTGGCGCCGTGCGGCCAGGCGAGCTGCCATCTGCGCTTCCAGGTCCCTTTCCCTCGCTGCGTCTGGAGCCCCTCGCCCCCCCGCCCGGTAAGTGCAGGTGGTGGGGCTGGAACCGGGGCACAGCGGGAAGAGGGTGTTCTGGCAGGATGCCACTGATGGCTGGGGCGCGGAGGTCAGGGGAAGGCTGGCTTTGGGGACGAGTGAGGACCCTCGGGCGAATGAGCAAGCATTGGTGTCCCTGGCGCGCAGCAGTGGGGTCTATGCGAGGCTCCCGCGTCTGCCTTTGCACTTGTAGCTTGGGCCTCAGAGGGTCTCATGCCTTCCAGCGTGCCCTGGGCATGCCTGTCCCTCCTCAAAATGACCCTCTTTGTCCACCCTGAATTCCAGGGACTGCCTCTTGTGCCTTAGCCCACGCGAAGGGTACAGCCCTTGGCTGCAGTGCCCCATGCAAAGGGAGAGGCGGGTGATCGCTGGCAGCTGCTGTCTGGGATACAGTCCCTAAGTATTAGTGGGGGCAGAGCTTTGCAGGCTCTGTCACCTGTGTCCCATCCCTGCATGCACATCTGGCTGGCTCAGAATGGAGGATGGAGAAGCTTCTGGAGTTTTCTCCCCCAAATGTGTGCCTTGTGAACTGGCCAGATAGTAGGAAATGGAGGAGGGCCCTGTGGCTTGGGCAGGATGGCATCTGAACTTGCTCTACACTGCTGAGTGCCAGGAGCCAGTGTCTTGTGAGGTCCCCGGTATGGGGGCCCATACGGGGCAGGGGATTGGAAGAGCTGTGGAAGAAGCAGCTTCTGGAAACTAAGTGCACTCCAGGGCATAGGGCGGAGAGGGAGTGGTGGGGGAGAGAATGAGGGTGGAAGTGGTAGAGGGGATGGGGCGGGAGCTGGAAGGTCTGCATTTTTAATGTGTGGGTGGCTGGATTCTAACCAAATTGGAGTCTGGAAGCCTGGGTTTGGATCAGAACTTGGTGGTAGTGTTGTGTAATAACACTGTTCCCTGGACAGGTCCTCTGGCTCAGTTGTTTTGTGTGCACTGGTGGAGGCAGGAGGAGGTGGAGTAACCACAGTCCTGCCTGTCTCCCATGTGACTGGAGGCACACAGTGATGAATGCCTCAGAGATCACTTTGGTCTCTGCAAGGCTACCAGGGCAGGGGGTTCAGGTGCAAGGCCACAGTTTGGGGAGTACCTTGGTGGCCTGGAGCTGCATGGTTTGTGGTGGTAGAGGGAGCATTTACATGTGGCTTCCTGTGACACTCAGCACAACAGGACTGTCTGCCTGGAGCCTGAGTATGGACTCTTGGTGTAGAAACTTTGTATAGGTCTGTGTGGCTTCCTGCAGTCTCTGTGCCTTCTGCAGCAGGAGCGGGAACCTGGCTTTGATGGTCTTCAAATAGTACCAGGCACCTTGCCTTTGCAGAGAGTTTGCCTCCAGATGAAGCCAGGGAACTTTACCCACTGTTCTGCCATGGAATGAAGCAGTAGGAAGCCTTTGCCTCAGTTTGCAGACAAGGTGAAGACCAACAAAGGTCACCAGTCTGGGGTATCAACAGGGGTACAGAGACTGCACACCCAGGGCCAGCCCTGGACCAGGCTGAGAAGGCAGGCAGGTGTCAAAGGTAATGCACGGACAGCACTCAACATGGGACATGGTTGGGTGGTTTGTCAGCTCTTGAAAGTCGCCTGCCATGAAGACTTCTTTGTGTGCATTAGCTATTCAGTCAATGTTTGTGGAAGGAAGGAGCCTTGGGCGGAGCATCCTAGAAACTCAGGTCAAGTACTGGCTGGGCTCCCTGCCCACAGTGTCCTGGGGAAAGTCACTTCCCTCTTTAGGTCTGCTTCTTCAGTGGTTGATATCAGGCCATCTCTCAGACTAGCTTCCTGATCTGAGCTCCTACTTCAGTTCCTCAAGGCCTTTCCTGATTCCCAACTAAAGTAGCTACCTCCTAGGTACCTCCCAGCACCCTAATGTGCTCCCCTCACAGCACCCACCAGTCTGAGCTTACCCTTGCTGTGTCCTGGCACAGTGTGAGTATAGCAAAAGCAGAGGCCACCTTTATCCGACTCCCTGCTGGCTCCCCAGCACATAGTAGGTGCTCAGGAAATATTGCATGTGAGTGAGAGAGTGAACAAACCAGGAAGAGGAGGCTGCCTGCATGTTTTTCCAGTTGTGCCCCTGAGAGCTGTGAAGGGGAAGTTACATATCAGCTTTCATGTAGGATTTCCTTTGAAGAAAGGATTCTCCCAATAAAAACTAGAAAACCATCATACCACACTTATGGGCATCTTTTCAACTCCAGGTTAAAACAATAGCACTGTAACTGGAAGTCCTACCTACCTGTCCCTCAACAAGGACCCACACAATAATTCAGACCTCCAAAATGGTTCACACACACACACACACACACACACACACACACCCCACACACATACATAACCAAGGGATTCATCCTTTGCTTATTTTTATGCACCTGGTTTAATTTCCTGGATTTTTGGTTAAAGTCCATTTGAGAATGATTTTGCACACAATACAACAACAAAGGAATTTGGGGAATCCCGGACCATGTGTGACACAAGCTCTAGATGGCAAGGACCCATTGAGCATCACTGGGGTGAATGAGCCATCAAGGATATTTGAGAGCTACCTATGTAGGGTGGCTATGTCAGCCATTGTCCTGCCTTGGGTGCGTTCCCAGGCCTCATCCCAGTGGATACCACTTAGCGTTGCCTTTCTTGAGCAGCTGACAATGGAAAGGAACTCTCCTCTGAGCGATCATGATCCCTGAGCTTGGAGGAAGCCCATGACGGACCTGCCCTAACCTGAACTTACAGCATCCATGCTTCCTGGGGCCTCCCCAGCTCACCTCCATGTATTCACTTCCTTGTCTCTTCTTATAAATACAGCTGCACATGGCAGCTCTGCTCCTGTGTCCAACCTGTGCTTGGGATTTTGGTAGAGAATATAGGCTTACAATTGCTTTTCCTAAACCCCTGAGGAGGGTACTCATGGCCATTGTCATGGTGGAGAAAGAGGTGACATTGTTTCATTTAGTTGGGTTGTTTTGGTTGTTGAGCAGGGCACTATAACAACAGGAGAGAAGAGAAAGATTCAGGATCTAGAGAAATAAAGCTTCTGTTAATTCTTTCAGACTGCTGACCTTGCCTCTTGAACCTGGCCCTGCTCTGGCAGACTCTGGTTCCTGGGGTCAGAGGTTACACTCCTAAGACAGCAACTGCGCAGTGCAGATGACTTGGGGAGGAGCAGGGTAACCCACATACAATGTGCGCCTATTCACCACATGTCTCCCGTGAGCCTTGAATGTCCAGGCCCTGAGAAATCCATAAGAACCTGCCATTGCCCCAAAAACTCTAGTTGTAGAGATTAAACTCACTCCCAAGGAGAGATGAGAAAACAGCTGAGTGTAAAACGCATGGAATCGCCTCAGCCACAGCTGGAGCTCAGAGAAGGCAGCGAGCATGGTCCTGAACCCAGATGGTCCAGACTCTGCTTTTCCCCTCCGTGTGACCTTTGATGTGTCCTGTGACCTTGCTAAGCTTCAGTTTCCTCATCTGTAGATCCAGGAAATGATCCCCACTCCTGCCAGCATGTGATTACATGGGTCTGGAATGCTCAGCATTCCAGGGGCATGGGATGGGCTCAGTTTCCTCCACTGTCTGACTGATACTGGATGAGAGATGAAGGGGTCCCCTCAGCCTCCCAGTTTCCACACAAAATCGCACATGTGAAAAGAATTTCAAGGAGTCTCACAAGGCGGAAGTTTTAGCAAGGATTTGTTTAGTATAAGAAGATAAAGTAGAAAGAAGTAGATACAAGGGGAGAGAAAAATTACCTCTTGCTTAAAGTGCAAGGGTGGGAGATGAGCTCAGAAAATGGTGGCCTTCTTGTAGGTTTTATATTAGCTGAGCTGGGGACATACACACGACCATGCGTCTAGCAACCTCTAAGTTAGAGACAATGGTTCCGGATGGCCAAGATGGGTGCTGTTTATTATTCTACAACAGAGAAGTGATCTAGGCCCACCCAACACACAGGGGCAATGGGTGAGTGTCAGGACTTCCATTTGACATCCAGTTTTCTGTCCCTCTACCCATCTGTGAAGTTTGCAGCTTCTTAACGTCTAGAAGGAGAAGGGCCATGCAGACAGCCCCTTTATGCTTTGTTATTCTTGTAGCTTAACATCTAAGAGGAGGTGATGGGGGTGTGCTTGCTGCTCTGGCCTCTCCATTCACTTCCTCATTCTAATTTCCCAATCTGGCCCTTTTAATATTTATTTTTAATTTCCCTGTTGCTCATGTTATCTGTCCTGCCTCCTGGCACAGTGGAGTGATTGGAAGGGGGATTGGAGGGAGTGCTGGGTTGTGGCTGCTGTATGATTGTGACCGACACTGATCTCCCTTAATGTTGTCAGGGATCTGTGGCCAACTGCAGGGTATGTCCCAGGCCAGCCAAGTGCCCGTTTCCACCTTAGGGACCCTCTCCAGCTGGGCCATGCCTACTCTCCTTGCATACCTGTGGGGGTGTTCTGTGTTTTAACAGCCTCCCTCTGCCTTTTCCACCGTCCTTTGAACAAAAAGAGAGCCCCTTCTCGGGGCTTCAAGATTCTTGGAAAATACCAAGAACTGAGAATTTACAGAGGTTCAGGAAGTGTTAAGGAAAATGGGTCTGGGAGTTCAGTGATCCTTATCTTCATCCCAACTTAGGAATTCTTTCTTTTTTGTAATATGAACTTCATATTTTGAAAGATGCTCATCAGCCACCATTCAACATACATGAAATTTTTGTCTATCTCAAAAAAGTGAATCAAAGACTACATGACTGATCATTTGATTTTACCAGGCAGTGACCAGGTTTCCACTGTATATCATTTACATTTTTCAAATCAGTTTAGGTCATTTAACTAACAGATTCTAGTGTGTTTAAAAGGCTCAAACAAACAAAAAAAAAACAGAACAAAAGACAGAAGTGGTCTGGTGTTGTGCAGTTGGTATGAGGTCTGGAACAGACTGCAAAAACAAAATGATGCCCGTTCTATGGTAACTTAGGTGGAAGCTGGATTATGATGCCT